CCAACGCTCCCTACCCCTCCCCTACCCCCCAAAATATTTTTTCATATTTTGAGCTGATACCAGTTTATTTTTGTTTATTTTATTTTCGAAAATTTAATTTTACATATTTTCTCATAATTATCATAATTATTCGATGTTCCGGAATGTTCCGGGATGTTCCATGTTCCTGGTTTTATCGACGGTCACGTTCAACCAGGTTGAACGAGTTTGAACCGAATTCCGTTATTTCTCAACTCAGGTCATATTTATAGTTCATGAACAAAGGGCTGGCTACTCAGGATGATGTTTATATGGTTGCATAAAACATAACGTAACTCAAATCCAAATGAGACTTTTCTTATTTAAAGTTGTTTCGGTTTACACAGACGTGGAGAAATGAATTCCTTGTATGGAACTCGGATGATTTTGGAGGAGTATCTCGAGTACAGTTTGTCCCGGACGAAATCTGGGTGCCGGACATTTCTCTTTTCAACAAGTAGGTGTTTGTAGATAAAAGAAATTGTGGCTGATATTTTTATTGAGCCAGTTTGGTAAAGATTTGAATGTTTTTATGGAACAAAAAATATGTACTTGAAATAAATATATACACACGATGATGTAAATAAAAATATGCATTTGTAATAAATATGTATATATGTAATGTCACTATCTACTGAGTCATTCATTTATGATGTCCAAAATTACGATAAAATAAACAGGAAATCTTAAAATTATAGCTTACTTCAGTAAAAAGAAAATTAAAAAAAAAAAACTAACAATAAACCATCCCCCCCCGGCAAACAAAACACCCACAAAAGAAGAGTGGCTAAGACAGTAAGCAAGATAGAAGCTGCTAAAGTACATGTCAAAGTAAGTTCATAAACCTGTCGTTGATTTCAGTGGTGATGACAGCGTTACTCTAGCCGGAGGACGAACAAAGTTTGTCACTGAGGTGTCCGTGGATAATACCGGAATGAGTGTGTGGAGTGGACCAGCTACATTTAAAGCCAACTGCAAATTAGAAATCGGTAACTGGCCATTTGACAACCAGACCTGTGAAATGGGCTTTGGTTCATACACATACGGAATTGGCAGGATGGACATCAAACTATTTAAAGATACAAGTGGTGAATTTACCAGTGAGTAATTCGAATCATGTAAGGTTGCTTTGAGTAAATCATGATATCTGCTTCTCGTCTCTCAGCGACCCAGACAATTAAACAATCAGTCAATCACGCATTTCATCTTTTCAGGACCTTCTGTGTTTTGAGTTTGTTTGTACAAAGTATAAAGTGGAACCTCCTCTTACGAGACACCCCAGGGACAATGAGAAGAACCCCCGTAAGAGAAGTGTCTCTGTACTAAAAGAAATCTATAAGCATGCAGCTTGCGGCGACAAATGTTTTGTGTCCCTCTGAAGGAGAGTCAACTCTGGTGTACGCAATAGCGGAAAATGACCCAAGTTTTGGTTGAGGAGTGTCATATATAACGTATATCGCTATAAACTTTTTAATAAAAAGGTTTCCAGTTTCTTTTCATTTGTAATACACATTTTACTTTGATACATAGTTATACAATATAGGTCAAAATAGTTTACAAACTAGTAAGTATGACTGTAGAATAATTAAGTATGTCCCCTCAACATGTCCAAGTTATTCGTTTTAACGACAGTAGAGCATTAAACATTTGCGTGTAGGCACTTGAAATATCCACAATCCCGTAATAGCGGGAGCTCTTTCTAAACCTTTATTTGTAGTTTCGGCTGGTTCAACCCCTATTAAACGGCCACCCTCGGGGAAATAGATAGTGGGCGCTTAAAGACGGACTGGCCGTCTAATAAAGGTAAAAACAATAGAAAAGCTCTTATCGGGACTTTGATTACTGGGCGCCTAATAGGGTGGCTGTTTAATAGGTAGCCGCTTAATAGGGGTTCGACTGTAGTTTGGGATGGGGATGTAGTTTCTATCCGTAATAGCAAGGTGTTCATAATAGCAGGGAGTCCACAAGGCCAGAGTTGACTGTAAGGGTATTCAAAGGTAGAGGTTCCCTCGCAGCCACCGTGTGTAAAATCATACGTGTTGTTCATTTGCAGATCGGTTTGTCACAAACGGTGACTGGACGATAGACGAGATCTCCACAAGATTAGAATTAACAGATCACGGTGACTGTTGCCCATTTGATTTCAGCGAGGTGGTTTACACGCTAAAAATGTCACGGAAGCCTTTATACCACTTGTTTTATCTGACCATTCCCAGTATAATGCTTATGTTTCTCGCCCTTCCAAGCTTTTTAATTCCAGTGGAGAGTGGAGAGAGAATTGGCTTTGTCACCACCATGCTGCTTGCTATGACTGTCTTCTTGCTTCTAATTCCGTCTTTCCTCCCTGAAACGTCCGATGGTGTTCCAATCCTTGGAATAAGTTTGCAGGTCACTTTGGTCATCATGGCATTGGTCCTGTTTGCCAATATTTTCGTCCTGAAGGTCTTTTTCATGGAGGGCACTCCCCCAGAGTGGGTGCAAAGCATTTTCAACATGTGCAGGAAAAAGAAAAGCGTTCAACGAATACATGTAGCTAGCTCAGACGTTCAGCCGCCATCCATGAAATCTCGCACGTCCGTGAATGCAATTGAACTGTCCCCATCTACTAGCGTAAGCACGCCCAGGGGTTGGCAAGAAGAAGAACAGCAAGTAACATGGCAAAAAGTGTCCGTCAAACTTGATCATGTGTTTTTTGTGTTGTTCCTTGTCTGTGCTGTGATTTCTTATTGCATAATTTACATTTCAAAGGTATAATGAGCTTTTTCCAAAATGATGAACACAGAAATCTCCTGGGCTGGGTACTTGGGCAAGGTATTGCCGGTTAAGTACTGCTAGCCTCTTTGAGCCCCTAATCATTATGGTCTATTATGCAACCAATTATGGCCAAACATAGATCTCATCTCAGTCACCTTTTTGCAAGTCTAAACGACAGCATCCTTATTCAATAACTTTCCATGACGTTTTGTTAACGGATTTGGTGAATGATTTTTTTTAACACTACTTTTCTTAAATCGTGTTTGAGTTTCTCCGACTCCCAGGTACAATTACACGAGTCCTCTAGTAATAGTTATCAAAACTGCAACGAAAGGTCAAAAGTTGTCCTTACATTTATGAAAATGTGGCAACCGTTGATGATGTTAGGTGGTGAGACTGTTCACAGTTTCTATTTTACAGTGTCAGTTTTTGGAGACTGGATGAGAAGGATGTGGACAGTCAAACAGGTGTCCCAATGAAGAAAGCCATAAACTAAGGGTTTTGGTATTTTTGGTATACAGCTAATTACTCAGAAATTGTAAGTGTTTATCTGTGTTTATAAAGCCTAATGTTAACTCACCATTCAAGACAGTAAAAAACCCACGTGTAAGAACCTAGTGGTTTGAGAACCTGTTGGCAGAAATGTGCCATTTTAATACCTAAAAATATAAGAACCTGTTTAGCCAAGCAAGATCAAGCAGGCTCTGATATGTACGTGAGTTACAGTTAAATTATGATAAACATTCTATCCAAGGAGTGTGACTGAGATTGCGAATTTATATCACGAGAAAATGCATAACACAGTTGTGAATAAATACTGTATATTCAAGGATCAAACCCAAGTTTATTTATTTTTTCTGGTAATCAACAACCATATCTTCTTCATAGAAATTAAGAACCTAATTAAGAACCTACTTAGCCTAAATTGCCAATAGCCACCCCAAAATACAAGACTATTTTGCCAGACTTCAAAAAATGTAGGTTCTTGCACACGGGTTTTTACTGCAATTGAAGTCAAGAGTTCTCTGCAATATCAATGGATCGATTGTATCCCGATGTAAACAGAAAACACCATAAAGCAATGAAATGTGGTATGATGTCTAACAGGTTCTTGCTGCCCAACTTTTCATCCAATCTAATGTCGAGGGTATAAAGCGCGTCATAGTACAATGTAGAGCTAGTGAGGGATCGTTTGATGGTATCCCATATTTAATAGGTAGAAGGATCAAACTCCTGATACACGACCGAGGAGGATAACAAGGGCGTATCCACTGCGGATGTAAGTTATGTTCCGGAATGGAGCCCGTGTTCCTCACCCAAAAGTAGACAACTGGAAGGATCCAAAGGGGATACAAGCTATTTTCTATCCTTGCTTAGGNTTAACAAGTAAAAAAATTAATTAAGAAGTGTTGTTTTGCAAATTGCAATGAGACAAATCATATTTGATCTTCTAACTGTGAGACTGGGTACTGTGATGACTTGTGAAGACTAGTGAACAGGTCTGATCTTTGATCTTGGACTGACAAATACTGTAGGAACTGTAATAGCCGCGAGCTATAAAGGAGGCGATGTCGCTTCTTACTTGATTTTAATATCTAAACAACATGGCGGGAACTACATGCAAAAGATCGCAAAGCATGATGGTTCACATGCTGATTACGTCACCGGAAGTGCATTTGAAGCACATATCATCACATGAACCATATTTGAAGTCGACAATCGTGTAACCATATCTTGCAAGACAGGTTCAGATAGGCTTAGGACAGACACATGTGTACCCTGTCAAGAGCTTTAATTATACATACCCTCATACCCTCCCTCTTATTTTGGCAGAAAACTGATTACAGGTGTATGTCTACTTGTATTAGCTATATCACAATTTAAAGAAAAGCAATGCAATGCGAATTGCAAAGCAATAGAATAGAAAACAATACGATAGAATACAATCCACTAGTACAATATAGTGCATTGCAATATAGTGCACTACAGCCATACAGCACAAAACACAAGACATTATGCAATACAATACAATACAATGCAATGCACTGCAATACAATACAACACAACACAAGAAAATACAATTCAGTACTGAATACAATATTGACAATACAATACAGTACAATACAACACAGTACAAAACAACAAAATACAATAAAATACAACACAAAATACAATACAATACAACACAAAATACAATACAATATAACGCAACGTAACGCAACGCAACACGACTCAATACAATAAAATACAAAGCAGATTAGTCAGCTCACCAAGAATCCTCGGTGTTTTTGCATCCTCCTCTTTAGAAGATGGAGTAGAGGAACAGGAACTAGGCAAGCTGAGAATGACATTCTGGTCACCTATGATGTAACAGCCCTCTTTACAAATGTAACACTTGAGGAATCAATTCAAATTCTCGCAAAGAAAGCCTTTAAATAAATTGGTTTAATCAGTACGCATAACCTGAACATCAGCGAAGCTGACCTTATTGAACATTTGAGAGTTGCTACAAAAGGTCAGTT